AGTAGTTTGGGCCATGAGCAGCTTCACTTCAGGTATTATGACTTGTACGCATGGTCGGAATTGAATTACGGGGAATTCGGAGTTGATTTGGAAAGGGAATTCTCATTTCGGAAGCTTTAAGTTGAAAGAATTGACTAAGATTGGATTTCAGAGTAAAGGACCTTGGAATTGGGATCTGAAGGTTCCAATAGGTTCGTATGATAATTTCGGACTTAGGCATATGCCCGGATCGGGTTTTGGATGACCCGGGAGCGTTTTGGCGCCTATTGTGGAAGTTAGCATTTTGGAAGAAATTTCATAAGTTTGGGTTGAAGTGCATTTCAGTGTTATCGATGTCCGTTTTGGGATTTTGAGTTTGGGAGTAGCTCAGTATGGTGGTTCTGAAGTTGGGAGCACAATCAGAAGTGAATTCGGAGGTCCGTAGGTCATTTTGAAGTCATTTGGCTAAAGATAGAAATATGAAGGTTTTTGAGAAGTTTGATCGAGAGTATGACTTTTTGATATCGGGGTCGGATTGCAATTATGAAAGTTGGAGCAGGTCCGTAATGTCGAATATGACTTGTGTACAAAATTTGAGGTCAATCGGACATGATTTGACGGGTTTCGGCATCGAATGTACAAGTTTGAAATTTCAAAGTTCGTAAAGTTTGGATTGGAGTACGATTCATGATTTCGACATTGTTTGATGTGATTTGAGGCCTCGAGCGAGTTCGTATCATGTTTTGGGACATTTTGGTATAATTGGTTAAGGTCCCGAGGGCCTCGGGTGGATTTCGGGAGGTTAACGGAATGAATTTCGGACCAAAGAGTTGCTGAAATTTTCTGCAGAAAGCTGTTTTTACAGCAACTAGTGCAATCGCGGAGCTGAATTTGGACGCTTATATCTCGAAATCTATAAGGAATCTGAAAATTTGCAAAACATAAAAGTTGTTGCCCCTTGCATTCTAGCTTCCTGAAAGTTAGACCATTCATGATTTGGACATTTTATCAGAAATTTATGATCGATTGAAGATGGCTGGTGGAGCAGTTTCGACCGAATTTTCTGATGCATGGAGCCGACTTTAGAAGTTCATATCTCGGAATATATAAAGAGTTATATGGTGTGAAACCTATCAAATGAAAGATCTTCGAGTCTAGTTTCTAAATATTAAATCCGTTTGTCATTTGGATATTTCCACAAGGAGTTATGGGCGTTTTAACAGAAGGTGTACAGCAGGGGAATATTGTAATAGGATGTACAACCTGCACAACGCAAGGTACAACTCGATGAAGCCTGGGCAGATTGTTTATAACACGAGTTTTGGCCCATTTCTTTCGTTTCGTTCATTTGGCTTGGACAATTTTGGAGAGCTCAAGGAGGGATTTTCACCAAGCAACACTAGGTAAGTGATTTCTTCCTATTTTTGAGTTAAATATGTGATCTTACATGGATTTAGACATGGAAAATTAGTATAAATTTGGGATTTTTGGGGAAGACCTAGAATTTGAAATTTTTGACTTTTACCTTGAATTTGAGCATGAAAATTAGAGCAAATTGTATATTTGGTTTAGTAAAGCTATGGGTAGAATTTATTTTCGAGAAATTTCGGAATCCGAGCCGTGGGCCCGAGGGGCATTTTAGTTATTTTACCTAATTTCGCGTATTAGCTTAGAGTTTATTTGTAGAATCAGTTACTTGAAGTATTATTTACATTATGCAATTGAATTGAATAGATTTGGGCCATTTGGAGACGAATACTCGTGGCAAGAACGTGATTTCGGGTTGATTATTGAGCTAGTTCGAGGTAAGTGGCTTGCCTAACCTTGTGTGGAGGACCTTCCCCTTAGGATTGGTATATTTGTTAATTGAAATGCCTTGTACGTAAGGTGACGAGTGCGTACATGTGCTAATTATTGAAAAATCCGGTTTCCATTATGAACTTAGAATTTGTTGTTTTCCTTTCCTATTTACATTACTTGCAAGTTAAGCCTGTTATTAGCTTAGGAAAGCATGTCTAATTGATTTAACTGCTTATTTGCTCTACTGTCCTAATTGAATTATGTGCAGCATGCTAGGTTAGAAATACCTGCTTTACCTTGGTGTGAAATTGATTGATTGGGTATCTTGTTACTGCTGTGTATTTATTTTGGGACTACGGGACGGTATCCTAGGAGCTCCTGTATGTTTACTTTGGGACTACGGATTGGTTTTCCGGGAGATCCCCCCTGCATTTTTACATTGGAACTACGGGATTGCACCTGGTAGATTCCTCAGTACTGAGTATTTTTATTTGGGACTACGGACTTGTATTCCGGGAGACTCCCCTGCACGTTTATGAGTTGGACTAAGGGACTGCACCCGAGAGATCCACCGGATATTATATTTGGGGACTATAGGACGGTATCCTGGGAGATCCCTCGGTTGTTATTTTTGCGTTGAACTGTATTTTGTTTACCGTGATCACTTGTTTTCTGTTTCTTTACATCCTGTGTTGCCCTTATTGCTACACTCATTTTATATTGCTCTGTTTTACACTGTCAAACTTATATTATATTTAATCTCATTAGGGCCCTGACCTTCCTCGTCACTACCCGACCGAGGTTAGGCTTGGCACTTACTGAGTACCGCTGTGGTGTAGTCATGCCTTTCCTGCGCATGTTATTCATGTGCAGATCCAGGTATCTCTACTCAGACTTACCATCCTTGAGGTGAGGCGATCTTTCGGAGACTTCGAGGTATATCTGCCGCGTCCGCAAACCGAAGAGTCTCTCTCTATTCTCTCTTATAGTTACAACCCTTCTGTATTTACTTTGTTTAGACATTCTGGAGTTAGAACACTGTGTAGTATTCTTATCTTGTGATTCATGGGTTTCCGGGTTTTGGGAATATGTATTAGTTTTTAAGAGTTAACATTGTGTATGCCGAGCGACACTTTTAAACGTTGTTTTACTACTCTATCTCTGTTTTAACTTGTTTCTTCCGCAAATTGGTTTATTTTCTGCATTTTAGGCTTACCTAGTCGTAGAGATTAGGTGCCGTCACGATGGTTAACGGAGGGCGAACCAGGATCGTGACATGACTTCCTCATCCAAGCCTGCTTGGGGTGCGTATACACTGATTATGTTCAAAGTAAAACCTCTAACAACTATCTTAATAGTCATCAGCCTGTCATTCACCCTCCTAACCTCCACCACTAGTTCACGAAGGTCCTTATCAACCAAGATACCTACCTCGTTCCCACTCCCCTCCCACCCAGAATACCAACGTTTGAAACTGCCCACGTCCCGCGCCTTATCTCCTACCCACCTAGTCTCATATACACAAGCTATATTAATCTTCCTTTTCTCGAGAATCTTCGCTAACTCTACATATTTTCAAGTCAATGTTCCTATGTTCCAAGTCCCCACTTTCAGCCTAGTAGCTCTCTTAGTCCTCTTACCCCTTACCCTCCGCACTCCTCCCCCGCGCTGACACCCCCGATGACAAGACCTTACCTTACCACCGTTCACCAAAGCCATTACAATCAAGGAGTCACTACGCAAGCACTATCCCAAAAACAAGCCACAAAAATAAAATGAATTACTGAAATATAATCTACCACTAAAGGTCGCAAAATAGGTGAAGAAATAAAATAAAGGAACTAAAGAGGACTATAATCTACAACTAAAGGCCAGACAAATAAGTGAAGAAATAAAACAAAGGAACTAAAGGAACTATAATCTACAACTAAAGGATAGAAAAATAGGTGAAGGAATACAATATAAGAGCTAAAGGGGGTATGATTTACAATTAAAGATCACAAAGAAAATATGCAATAAAGATTCAAAATAAAGATGTAAACAGGTAGATAACAATATAAACAAGTAGGCAAAACTATCACTAATGCAATTAATTTGACAATGCTAGAGCAAATACTAACTAAAGATTCAAGAACAAAATAGGCAAGAAAGGAGATACAATTACGCTAAAATATCAAACTATTAAAATATCAACACAAGAGAGGAACAATAGAACATGGATTACAGCCCTTGAAGTTAACGAAAATCTGGTCGGCGGTGGAAAAACCATCCTATAGCTAAGAACTTCTCTCCTTTACTAAATAGAAGAAACTGTCGCTACAATTCAAGACTTGGGCTTGTTTAACTTTGATTGGATGTACACCAACCTTCAGGAATACCTTATCGATGCAATCAGGGGAAAATATATTAAAGAAGTACGCAAAACCTAATTGTTGGGGAATTATAGAAAGTGAAAGTTCAATGAAGACGATGGAACCTTCCCATCAAAACTGAAATTTGTGCAGAACTCCACCACAGCAGGAACACATACTGGGAGGAAAGCTTTGACAAACATGTGCTTCCACCCCTGTAGCTCAAGTTTTTCAACTAGTTGAGCCATTCCCTTCTCATCAGTGTTTGCAAGAATCTTCCCATTTAGTACTTTTCTATTCCTGAACTCTATGAGTCGATTAACTGCAGCTGAAATATTCTTCTTTGTCTTACCCCTGCTGGCCCTTGCAGAACAGGTAGCAGGTTTGGTGACTTTGGCTCCCCTTTTCTTTGGTGTTGTAGACTTTGCTGGCAAGCCTGAATCAAATTCTTCTTCTCCATCCACCTCAACAACAGGTTCAACAATTGAAACCTTCTTCTTTGACTTCTTTGCACTTCTGGACTCCTTCATGATTTGTGCATTAACAACCTTTCTTTTACTCCTTATGAGAGGAGTTCTAGTAGGAGGAACCACTCCTTTCCTTGTTGAAACTGTTGTCTTTGTAGCTTTCATAGTGGCCTTTCTGTACTTCTTCCTTAACTCAGATAGTGGCATATCATCTTTATCAGTGCTAACTTCTTCATCTCCAGTGGAAGGAGCCAACATAGACCGGCTTCTTGGCCCTTGTATTTTCACCAATTTCTTCTAAAGGGGCTATGACAGTGTTTCCAATTGTCATAGAGCCTTCAAATTCCTCACTCACATTCCCTTATTATTCCTCACTCTCGTCAATTACCTTTTTCACTCCCACCTACCTTTCTTGATCCTCTCCCTCACTTTCATAGACCTCCTCTTCTTCACTTAGATTTTCTTTTTCTGCAGAATTATTTTTCTGTTCAACTATCTTATCCTCTGTATCACTCTCCTTCTCATCTCCAAATACTCCCTCATTCTTACTCTTTCCTTCTTCATTGGCTATGTTTTGAGCTTCATGTTCCTCATGACTGGTCATAACTTCTTCTTCCTTTTCACCTTCATTATCTTTTTCATCCTCATTATAGCTAAAATCAAGGCTATCAGAAGTCTCCTTTTGTATTGGTTCTTTACGTCCCCTCCCTCAACCACAGGCTCCACAACCGTTGTATCTAACCTATTTCCCAGATCCCCTGTATACTCTTCTCCTATGAATTTCTCTACTGGTGACTTCTCACTCGTAATTGTAAGAGTATATAGGGGTGCAACATCTATAGCAGAAGCCAAAACATCTAACTTGGGAGCAGGATGTGGTACCTGATCAGTAGTGCCTGATTCCCTCTGAATCATAGATTCCTTGACTCCAGTGTCAACATGCGCAGCAGCCTCAGGCATTTTCTTGACGAATTTTCTTGAAGTTTCTTTGACCTTTGTCGTCTTAGAGGTATTTTTTGTAGGAAGCTCAGGTGCATGGGTAGTTGCTTTTGAAGGAGGAGGCACAATGGAGATGGGAATGACAAGAAGTGGAGCAGTAGGAACAGGGGAGGATGAGGTAGGTATGGTGGAGGATATAGATGGAGAAGGAGCAGGTGTGGGTGTGGGTTCTCTTGTAGTCTTGTCATTTTTCTTTGACTTGGGCATCAAGATTTTGGGTTTTGCTTCAACCTTGGTTGATGATTTAGCTTTAGAGGGTATTTGACTGGCTTTAGGCATGGTGATCAAATGAGAAACTCGAAGAAGAGAATTAAGGCTTAAGGGGTTAGTTCTTGATACTTGCTTTCGATTCTTGCTTAGGGTTTGAGAGAAACAGTGAGGTTAGAGAAGTTGATTTTTCTAAGGGCCTTTTAAAGGCATTACTTCTTATTTGACTAGAAGAGAGAAAGTGACCGAATTTGAGTTCTAAAGGGACTCTTATAATGGTTACTTTGACTGTAAGGTTTTTAGGACTAATTGATCTCTAATTGCACAAGGATTCCCCCTTACCATTTGACTAGAAAACAACTAGAAGTGATGCCAACTGAATTAGAAGTCTGATATAGCAGTAATTTTAGAATATAAATTCATAGTGACTTAAGACAGTATGGCACATACCTGAGTCAAAGAACTAACTCCTTATTCATTTCTGCAATAAAGATTCAACACTTTATATTAGTATCATGCAACATAGTTATCAACCACATTCTTTATGCAAGTGTGTGAGCTTAATACAATCACAAAGCTAAATCAAACACATTGTACTTAAATATCTACGTTTTATTATGCTTTTTCTAACAAATCACTAGGGTCAACTTTGCGGGAGGAGTTGATTAGACCTAGTTCTAGTCTATTCCTTTCAAAGTAATCCCTACTCAGAGCTTTAGTATATCAGCAATTTGATATGCAGTTTTACAGAAGTTAATTGAGATATTCCCCTTTTCAACATTGTCTCTGAGAAAGTGATGTCCAATGTCAATGTGCTTGGTTCTTTTGTGCTGACATGGATTTTTATCAATGTTTATAGCTCTAGTGTTATCACAGAAAATAGAAACACAATCAACAAATATACCATACCTTAGTTATTATTTTATCCATAGTAACTGAGCACACCAGGATGTTGTTGCCACATATTTAGCCTCAACTGTAGATAATGCCACTGAGTTTTGCTTCTTTGTTCACCAAGACACCAGACAAAAACCTAGAAAATGTGCTGTTCCTGTCAACATGAAAACCTGCATAGCCTACATCAGCATAACCAACTAGATCAAAGTTGTACCCTCTGGGATACCATAGCGAGAGCTTATGGGACCCCTAGAGATATCTTGGTATTCTTTTGACAACCTTTAGGTTGGATTCCTTGGGATTTGCCTGAAATCTTGCACATAATCCCACACTAAACACTATATCAGGCCTGCTTGCTGTGAGGTACAATAGTGACCCAATCATTCCTCTATATAGCTTCTGTTTCACACTTTTCCCTTCTTCATCAAGGTCCAGCTTTGTTGCAATGGCAATGAGGGTATTAATAGACTTGGAGGAGTCCATGTTGAATTTCCTCAATAACTCTTTGATATATATCTGTTTATGTATCATGGTTCCAGTAGGTGTTTTCTTGATCTGCAGCCTCAGAAAGAAGTTCAGTTCACCCATTATGCTCATTTCGACCTCATTTCCTATCATCTAAGCAAATTCCTTGCACATTGCTTCATTGGTGGCCCCAAAGATAATATCATCCACATACACTTGCATAATCAGAATATTCTTCCCTTTGCTCCTCAGAAATAGCGTGTTGTCCACCTTTCCTCTTACAAAGTTGTTGGCTAAGAGGAATTTTGAGAGCCTTTCATAGAAAGCTCTAGGAGCCTGTTTCGGACCATAAAGATTTTTTTATCTATTTTGAACACATAGTCAATAAATTCTTCACTTTCAAATCCAGGAGGGGTTTTGACAAACACTTCCTCTTTTAGGTACCTATTCAAAAAGGCACTCTTTACATCCATTTGGTATGAAGTGAATTCCATGTGGGCAGCAAAGGCTATCAGCATTCTTATAGCCTCTATTCTAGCTACAAGTGAAAATATCTCATCATAGTCAATGTTCTCCTCTTGATTATATCTCTGAACCACCAGTCTGGCCTTGTTCCCTATGATATCTCTTTGTTCATCCAACTTGTTTCTGATCACACATATGGTACCTATTATAGTTCTGTTCTTGGGTTTTTGTACCAGGTGCCAGACCTTGCTTCTCTCAAACTAATTTAACTCCTCTTGCATGGCTATGATCCAGTCTGGATCCTTTATAGCTTCTTTGATGGTCTTAGGTTCAACCTGTGAGAGGAATGCTATGAGCGCATATAGATTTCTTAGAGAAGACCTGGTTTGCACCCCTGCATTTGGATCAAAGATGGTATTTTCAAGAGGGCGTGAGCTTTGATGCTTCCATGGTCTGATATGCACACCCAGTGAAGATTCACCTGTGGAGTGACCCAAGGGAACAAGTTCAGTAGGTGTGGCTTCATTATTCTGATCAGCAGTTAGAGTAGCTCTTTCTTCTTCCGGTTTCTCATGATCACTTTCAATTTCCTTGTGGTTTTCAGATCTATCTTCATTAGATTATCTCTATCACCAGTGAATCCTATGTCATAATCTTCATCTTGCAGATCTTCTCAGCTAAATTGTTAGATTCATAAAAAATAACATGAATATTTTCTTCCACACACATAGTTCTTTTATTAAAAACCTTATATGCCTTACTATATGGAGAGTAACCCAAGAAAATTCCCTCATCACTTCTGTCATCAAACTTACTTAGAGTGTCTTTCCCATTATTGTGCACAAAATATTTGCACCCAAAGGATATCAGGTGAGTGATGTTGGGTTTTCTTCCTCGAAGTAACTCATAGGGAGTTTTCTCAAGAATGGGTCTGACTATGCATCTATTTAACAGATAGCAAGCAGTATTGATTGCCTCAGCCTAGAAGTTCTTAGGCGGTCCACTAGCAATCAACATGGTTCTCCCCATGTCTTCTAAAGATCTATTCTTTCTTTCTACAACCCTATTTTGTTGTGGATTTCAAAGTACAGAGAAATTATGGTCAATGCCATGTGAGCCACAAAACTAAAGGAATTTTGGATTTTCAAATTTAGTTCCATGGTCACTTCTTATACTTAAAATATCACATCCTATCTTTTGTTGAATCATTCTAACAAATACACAAAAAACATCAAAGGTTTCATCTTTGCATCCCGAAAATAAAGTCCAGGTATACCTGGAAAAGTCACAAACACTTACCTCTTACCTCCTCTGCTCCTTATTCTCATTGGTCCACATAGATCCATGTGAAGGAGTTCAAAAGGTTTAGAAGTGCTTACAAACTTCTTAGATTTAAAGGATGACCTAACATGTTTCCCTCTAACACAGGCATCACATATCTTGTCAGAGGTGACTTCAACTTTAGGTAGTCCAAGGACCAAGTCTTTCACTACCAACTTATTGAGTTGAGAGAGAGTGTCATGTCCCATTCTTTTATGCCATAGTAGTGGATCATCTTCCACTACAGTCAAGCATGTGTGCTCACTCTGGGAAGTGACATAATCGATATCTTGTAGACATTGTTATGTCTCTTATCCTTTAGCACAATTTCATCAGTATCAAGCTTAGTGACATTGCAGATTTTGGAATTGAATTTTACCTCATTTCCTTTGTCTCACATTTCAGAGATGCTAAGAAGATTGTGTTTAAGACCTACCACATAATACACATCTTCTATAGCATAAGAGAGTGACTTGCCAATCTTACCAATACCTATTATCTGGCCCTTTTTCCCATTACCAAATGACACACTCCCTCATTAGAAGGCTGTTAGTGAGAGAAAGTTTTCTTTCTCCAGTCATATGTCTTGAGCATCCACCGTCTAAATACCAGTCCTGATTGTTTCTCCTCACCTTATCCTGTACCAAAATTCACAAGTTAGTTTGGGAACCCAGACTAGCTTGGGTCCCTTTTTGTTTGAAAAAGGATGAATCATTTCCCTTCTTGCCCAAAAGGGAGGAGGATTAGAAGCTATTTTCTTGTTAACCTTTATCCACTTAGTATGGACATGAGGATTAACCTTTGGCTCCTCTTCCTTCTTCACATTTTTAGCAATACCAAAGATATTTCTAAATAGAGCATGAATCAAGGCAGGACACGTGTCTCTAAAATGTTTTGCTCTTCAACAATGAGTGCATATGTTATTATCAGAAATTCCTACATACTTTGGGTCAAACTTAGGGACAGGTTTTCTGTAGCCAATTCTAGATTTGTTAGTGCTACAATATTCATTCAGCCAATTCAAGGCATCGGAAGATCTATAACATTTGTTTAGTCTAGAGACTTCATAATTAGCTTTTTCTAGGTTCTCATGCAGGACTTTATTTCTACATTCAACTTCATAAAGATTATCATTAGCAATTTTTAATTCCTTTTCAAGCTTATCATGCAGATCACTCATTTGCCTTTGCCATATGTATCGGGAGACTTCTCATTCTTAGAAGTTAATTCAAGAACCTGGTTCTTAAGGTCCTTGACCTGTTTCTCTAAAGTAGCTTTGTCAGATTCAAGCTCTTTGATGTCAAATTTGACACATGAAAGATTGCTGATTGGTAGTTCATTTCCATTACTCATTTTATCCATTTAATTCATTATGGTGACAATTATGGCCATTAGTTGCTTTATTGACATAGCATGGATATTTTCTTTCAAGTTAGATATACTTACCTGGTTTGCCTCATCTTCAGTTTCTGAATCACTCATGGTCATCATTCCTATCACTTCTTCCTTTATTTTTGGTTCTTCAATCGCCATCAGAGCCACTTCAATGTTTTCATTTCCAAAGTCAGTTTCTTAGGTCCTCCATATATCATGAGCAGAGATGCAAGAGGACACTCGAAGGAGGGTGTTTCTTGACATACTTCTGTGGAGCAAGTCCTTTGCTTTGGCATTTTTCTAAACTAGCTGACGATCTTCCTTATCGTATTCCTCTTCTCTTTTGTTGCACTTGTTACCTTCACCATCCAATTTGGTTGGGAGAATTGGTCCATGAGTGATAATTACCCATAGATCAAAGTTAGTAGCCGGAAGATATGTTTTCATACGTAGCTTCCATTCATAATAGTGATGTTCATTAAACAAAGGAGGTCTTCCAATGTGCATCCCAAGTTGTACTGAAGGTTCTGTCTTCATAGCTTGGTGTTCAT